CACCCACCCACCCACACACACACGCACCCACCCACACACGCACGTACCCACCCACACACACACACACGCACACACACACACACTAATATATATATATATATGTTAGTAGTATAGTATAGTATTAGTATTAGCTGATAGTGGTTGTGGATGGGTTGGAGTTTGAACTTACGCACATATTTTGAAATACCCAATTGCCCGATCAGATTACCACTTAGGTAAACTGGGTCCCTGTTTGCTTTTGGGGACTGCTTTCTTTGGAAGTGTATCCGACGTCAGGCTGCTGGCACGTCGGGATGTGCCTGTGTGTCCGAACCCTAACGTTTGCACAGTGTGGTAGGCGGGTGCAATCCTGCCATTTTCAAGCAGTAAGTTTGCCGATTTTTTGTGCTCCGAAGAATGCATGAAAAGTTCTGGAAATTTGAGGGTCCGTAGATTAGATCGCAATCTTTCAGGGGAAAAAACAAAACAAAAAAAAAAAAATAATAATTTTGACCGTCAAATATACGCCGCGCGCGATTGGTGCATTTTTGCACCGGGGGGTCCAATCCCGCCATTTTCAAGCGGCAACTTTGCCGATTTTTTGGGCTCAGAAGAATCCATCAAAAGGTCTGCAAATTTGAGGGTCCGTAGATTAGGTTGCGATCTTTTAGGGAAACATATATATAAAAAATTCAAAAATCATTTGAAGCGTCAAACACACGTCTCGCCGATTTGGTGCATTTTCGCACCGACGGGTCTAATCCCGCCATTTTCAAGCGGCAAATTTGCCGATCTTTTGTTCGCAGCCCGTCAGGGTTGCGTTTCCCCCCCCTGAGACACTTCAACGTCAATCAAATTTCAATCAAATTTCAACGTTGGTGGTCGTCGGAGGGTGGGCATTTTGAGGTTTTGGGGCATTGCAAGGGCGAGGACCGCGTAGGACCTGTAGCTGCGCGTAGGACGCCGCAATCCTTTTCCGAAATTGAAACGGTGCGGGTCCACTTTTCTCGAATTCTCGAATAGCAGAATTCCTCAAATAGAACACGTACACGTTGTAGTCGAGTTCGAATACAAACTCTACACTTTCTATTCGGATTTCAGAAAGAAAAAAGTCTTGTATTCTGATAAAATTACTTCTTCTTTTTGTTGGAGGTCTGCGCCCCGCCACTGACATGCTGCATGCTGCAGGTCCGTCTCTCTCTCTCTCTCACTCTCTCTCTCTCTCTCTCTCTCTC